TACAGGCCTACGGCGAGGACTACGTGGAGGAGATCAACCGCCAGTTCATCCAGTTCATGAAGGTGGCGGTGGAGGACCTGAGCGCGGTGGTGAACAGCATCACGGACGGGCTCCTGGCTGCCAACCCAGCCGTGCGCTACTACCCAGGGCAGGGCCTTGGGCTCATGTATTTCATACACCGCTACCTGCCCTATTTTGTTCGAGACTTGTTCTTGAAAGGATTCTTCATCAACCCCAAGCTGCCCCGAGCGCTGCGGCGAGAGGACCACAAGACGAAGAAGGCCTGACCTCAGCCTGCATGTGGTCACGGGGCAGGAGCGAGCCTTCTCCTGGGATTTCCAGGCACACCAGCTCCCGAGTATGTGCACAGCCACCGGCATCGCCCTCCTGCACCATGGGGAAACAATCAGCACTAGACCTTAAAAACCAAATTGCTTTCCAAAATCAGGCAGATCTATTTTCTATTATGCGAGAATCAACATTTTCTAGAGACGTTGTTTTTGTATTTTTTCTAACCGTGTATCCTCCAAGGGGGCCACCCCTGCCTGACTCAGTGGCTCTGCACCACGGGCTGGGATGTACTTCGGGCATTTCTCAGCTACCTGACATCTTCCTCACTGCACTTGTCTCCATCACCTCTTGGCTGGGTCAGGCCTGGGATCCTGTGGCCGCCGCCATGCCAGACCCCTGACTTCCTGCCCTTCACCTCCCTCCCGGCCATTCATTCCCCCCCCCACGTGCTCCCGGCGAGCGCAGGAGCCAAGGCCAGGCTGCCAGTGCCACAGAGCTCTTCAGGAGATGAACTATGTGATTGTCACTTTTTAAATAAATCTGTTCTTGATATGCCACAAGGCTCTGGCAGTCTCCTTCTGCGATGCTTGGTCAGGGATGCCCTGCCTGCGGGCAGAGCCAAGCTGGGTCACAGCTGGCACCGCACCGAGCACCGTGGCAGGAGCCTTGCATGGGGCAGAAAAGGGATCAGCCTGCCAGGAAGAGCTTGCGACCCGCTCCCCGCTACCACCCACCCCTACCCCAAAGGCTTCCTTTTGCTTTGTTCCGACTCCATGGCCCTGCTGAGGTGAGGATGGAAAGGGTGACACTGCCACACCTAGAGAGCCCCGTACAGGAGGACAAGCCATGCAGCTCCCAAAGCGGACAGCTCACTCCCCTAAATCTGCATGACCTCCTGGGCACCCATCAGCACCCACAGACCAGGCAGCACCTGTGGCTTAGGCTGCAGTGAGTGCCCAGGGCCCCAAGGGGTTGTACGACCGCCCTTCCTGCGGTAGAAACAAGTGTTTCAAGTCATGCAGGAGTCACACCAGGCTCCACTACCACAAATACCAGGGCTGAGAGGTCCCATGGCTGATGGAGGCTCCGCATGGGGACACGGGAGCAGTTGCCCAAGTACGCAGGAAGAGCACAGTGCAGTAGGCAGATATTTATTGGTGTAGAGAGGAAGGGATCACGGGATAACAAACACTGCAGAGGTGACCACAGCACAGGCTGGGACAGAGCCGCTCCCCATCGATCCCTCCCAGCAGCAGCTTCTCTGCTGCCACAGGGCATTTCCCAAACCTCGAGCACAAGTGGGACATGGAGCAGGCAGGCGCAGGGCTGCCACGCCACACCCAGGGCTAACCGCAGATGGGCAGGGCCTGGGCCACCTCTGCCAACAACTGCCCTCCACACTCATCAGGGTGCCCAAGTGGAGCCAGACCCAAGGGCTGCTCTGCCCAAGGGCCAGCCGTGCCCGTATGGCTCCACAGCAGTGTCAGCCCAGACCCCCTGCGCAGGGGAGGGGGCTGTGCCAGCCTGGATGTCTGCCCTGGGGTGGTACAGGGGTTCAGCACCATCCACCGAGCCAAAAGGAGCCCTGACTCTTGCATGGTTGCAACAGTAAACTCCAAGTCGTGGGTCTTCAGGGGCAGACAGAGCTCAGCCAGCTTTCAAGCAGGAGGGAGACTGATGAGGCAGCAAGGCTGCAGTAGTGCAAATGCTGCTGGGGTAGGGAGGAGCGTGCTCCACAAACACTCTGGCTCTGCCCTCATGTTCCCACAGGCTCCATCTCGGTCCTGGCCAGGGCTGCTCAGTCTCTCCCGGGTCACGGTTAACTACAGGGGGATGCAGGGATGCACAGCAGCACGGGCTACGCTACAACTTACACTCAAACTAAATCTCACAGGAACAACACTGACTAGGAGGCGTGCAGAGCACTGACAGAGAGGACCTCCAGCCGCAGCAGACCTGATGTGTTCCTCTGCAGCGGTGGGAAGCCCTTGGAAGCAGCAACTCCCCCACTGATGCTTGCTCTACGAGCTTAAGCGCATACAGCAGATTAGTACAGTAACAGCGGGACTATTAGGTACACAACAGGAGGTGTCCCTCCTGCTACACGGGGCCAAGCCTGTGCCACTGATCCCTCCGGATGCCCCACAGCACACACACAACTCAAACGTCAGCTTGTGAATAATTTAACTAGCAACTGTACAGTTTCCTCATCTGAACCAGTTCCACAGACAGGACATCCCTGGAGTTTGTGCAAGGAATAACTCAGGGAGTTAAGACAGGGGTCCCTCCAGACTCCAGGGACAGGATGGTCGGACAGGAGCAAAGCAGGGTTAGAAGATGGGAATGTAGTTGTCAATCTTGGTCCTGTGCCGCTGGGCGATGCACTCTGCAATCCACACAATGTTGCGACACTCCTGCTCCTTCAGCTTCACAAAGGCGTAAAAGACTCCAAAGTGGAACTGGTTGAGGAAGGCCAGCTTGTTCAGCTTCACCTGGCAAAAGCCCAGAGGAGGACATGTCACTTGTCCACCTCAGACAGGAAGAGCTGGTCAAGGCAAGCGTGGAACAGCCTTGGAGGTCCCATGACCTGCCCAGCAGGCTGGAAGGCTCAGCACAGGTACCCTGCTCTGCATCTCTCTAGGTCCTCTGGACAGCTCTAACCTACATCACGTGGCTCAGGACAGGCTCTCACCTTCGCACCTCAAATCCTGTGTTCAGTTCTGGGCCCCTCACTGTAAGAAAGACCTTGAGGTGCTGGAGTGTGTCCAAAGAAGGGCAATGAAGGTAGTGAAGGGTCTGGAGCACAAGTCTGATGGGGAGCGGCTGAGGGAGCTGGGGGTGTTCAGCCTGGAGAAGAGGAGGCTGAGGGGAGACCTGATCGCTCTCTACAATGACCCAAAAGGAGGGTGTAGCCAGGTGGGGGTCAGTCTCTTCTCCCACGTTAACAAGCAACAGGACAAGATGAAATGGTCCCAAGTTGCACCAGGGGAGGTTTAGATTGGATATTAGGAAAAATTTCTTCACCAAAAGGGTTGTCAAGCACTGGAACAGGCTGCCCAGGGAGGTGGTGGAGTTGTCATTCCTGGAGGTGTTTAAAAGGTGTGTAGATGTGGTGCTTAGGGACATGGTTTAGTGGTGGTCTTGGCCATGCTAGGTTTATGGTTGGACTTGATGATCTTAAAGGTCCTTTCTAACATAAATGATTCTATGATATAAAGGGGGAAATATTTATAACCGTCAGGTACTGTGAAAATCCTCCTTTCCCACGTAATTACACTCTGGTTTTGCTATTGATGGACCAAATATCCACCAGCAGCCCCAAACGTGCCTCCTACACTGCTCTCATCTGTCTGGGTGAAAACATGGACTAAGCACCATGCTGGGTCCCCGTTCCCTCACTGGAGCAGAGGGCTAGCATCCTTCTCCTTCCTCCATACTCTGTTCCTCCACAGGGCAGCAGATAAGCCTGCTGCTACTCTGAGCTTTGCAAATGGCACAGGTAGGCACATGCCGAGAAGCGTCTCGGGGCTCACTCACCTCATGCTCAAAGAACCTGTCTTCAAGGGTCTTGTCTCCAGGGTTGCTGCCAGCCCCTTCAAATAGCAGTTTGTACTCCTGTGGGAAGACATTACAAGAGGATATACCCAAACCCCAAGGCCCTCTAAGTTTAGCAGTGTTTGGGGGCCCCATACATCAGATGGACACCACAGCCACCATGTCAGGTCACCAGAGGACACAGAGAAGCCAGGAGTCTGCCCTGGGCACACATGAATGTTGGCAATGGATGCTGCCGAGGCTGCACTGCACACACATCGGCTGAAGCCAATTCCCAGAAAGGCAGAGAAAGCCTTTATTTCATCTGTGAACTTGTCCAGCCAGAGATCCTACCCCTTCTCTGAAATGTGCAGTTCTCAAAGCTGTATCATCACTTTGAGCCTGCAGGGAGGATGCATCAGGTACAGACTGGAGTCTTTGGGCCAGGCCACTGTGCCCACAAACATAGGCATATGCCCTGGTTGCTTCAGTAAGGTGACACCGAGCTGACTCCAAGCAGGTCCCCAGCCATGCACAAGAGCAGTTTAAGGAACCCAGACACATCCAAACATGTCCTCCCAGGTCAGCATCTCCCCTGTGACTGAACCAGAGCTCAGAGAGACCCACTAAGGCTGGAGATGCAGCACACTGCTTCTTGCTGGAGACACACTTCCACCCTCAACCTGCCAGAGACAGTCATTGCTGCTACACCAGTACCTCAAGGGTTTGGTGGTGGGGGCAGTCCCCACACCCTGGGACGGGCCGCGTAGGGCACACCCAGTCTCCCAATCACCACTGCAAGGACAGCCATGACTAACACACCAACGGCAGCCCAGGCAAGTCAACTCCGTCTTGGCCAAGCAGAGCACAGGACCAACAGTGGTAGCAGAAGACAGGCATCCCTCTCCCCAGACTGTCAATCCACAAGTTCTCCCAGATCCCCGAGAAGCTCTGATCCAGAGCAGGTCCTTGCACCAGTTCCCATAGCCCTCACCCCAAAGCACTCACAGGGTAGTAGTCAGCAACGTTTTTGACTTGTTCGTAGTCATCTGCTCTGGCCAGCTGAGCCAGGCCCTCAGGGTACAGCTTGCCACAGTGCGGGAACAGCTTTGCTCGGTCCTCCTTGGACAGCTCAGTACCAAATGAGTTAATGGTGATAATGAAGGCCCTCCGGTCAGCTTCATTTTCGTTTCACCTTGGGATGCAGCAACTTTGCCGGCAGGTACCGACGCTGCTTTGAACAGAGCCACATCAGAGGGCAGCATGAGCAAGCTGCCTGGGATGCATACAGCTACCCGGTGTTCAACCAGGGCAGGCTACACCTGTAGGTTCCCAGTATGCCCAGTAGCTGATGCCCGGGGAGCAGTCAGGTGAGAAAATCCCCATCCTGGGCACAAGCCGAATCACTGAGCAGAACCCTGCCCAGGTCAAGGAGTCTCTCTCGCCTACCACCCCCGAGCCCTGCACATCCCACAGCTAGCCTTGGCATGGGGACAGGCCGTGAACTGAACAGCTTTGGTTGTTCTCCTGTTCGTTATCCACATCAGAGGATGAAGATGTGGCCACAAAGGCAATAGATGTGTCAGCCTCTGGCAAGATCAGGACTAGGGAACCAAACCTGTCCAAAGCCATGTGCAGGCAGTGTTTTCCTAGGTCTCCCAGTGAGCAGGCAGAGGGTGCGTGGGGATGCTGAAGAATATTTTGAGCACCTTTAATGCTGGCAGGCAAGCTGGGCCTGAGCACAGAGTAATAAATATCGCTACGGGGGTTTCCAGACCTACCTCCAGGATCGGGCACATGGCATCTGCCGTGGTACCTCCCAGCACCTTGCAGAATTTGTAGAAGGACTCCAGGTAAGCCTGGAAGAGAGAGGGCAGATGAGCACTCCTTCTATACAGCTTCATCTACTGCCCCACAGGGCCATTCAGCAGAGGACGGACAGCAAGCAGGGATGCTCCCAGATGCTTTGTAACACAGCACAGGCACTCTCACCCCACGTGAACTTGGATGCCAAGCCCACACAAGGGACAGCGCTTTCCCAGGAGCTGGGGACACGAAGGGTTGTGGTTGGGTTTGTTCAAGTGACTGCATGAGGTTACTGCAGGCAAGATCCCCAGGCAGCAAGGTTAAAGCCTATTTTGCTCCTTTGAGTCGTCTAACTCCAAGCATTTACTGAAGTCTCATGTGGTTTCCTGACCCTGCTCTGGCCTCCACAAACATGCCAAGCCACACAACTAAAGCTGCAAGACCTACGCTCAGAAAGTACCGCTGTGTAAGCAGAGTCAAAAGATGAGACAGGACATCTGTGAAGGAAACTAGCCATTCTCTGTAATTCTCTTTTCACACTGCAGCCGCTTGGTCTCCATCCCAACTGGAGCACTGCGGAAAGCATATAAGGCTAGGCATAGCTACGCTGCCTCCAGGAAACGTAATCCTTTGTGGAGATGTACTGTAATCCAGCTGGAAGATGACTGTATCTCCCAGGGGGAGCCTACGAAGGCTGTGCATGGCTAAAAGTGCTGTTCAGCAAAAACTTTCTCAGAAGAAGTCATCATGTGATAAAATACCTCCCTGGACAGAGAGCTGCAACCAGAATCACTTAAAAAGGATAGAATAAAACGATGCTGAGACATCACAAATCTCTGTTTGGTCACAACAACTCCAGGACTGAAGATGGACCAAGAATGCAAGTGATGGACACCTTCAGCCTCCGTGCTAGGAAAGCACCTGGATTACTGTGTTCTGTAAATATTCGTTACTACACAGTGCAAGACAACACTGCTGGGTAAGCATCACACATCAAAGAAACTTCATCTCCAGCACTTGCAACTGCTCAAGTGCAGGAGAGCACAGAGCATCAGCCTGCAGAGTTACCACAGGAACAAGGACACAGATAACAGACTTTGAGGCTGACAGAAGAGAGAACCTGGATAAGAGGTTCAGTCACTACCTCTGCCCTTCTCAGAGTTCATGCACAAACCCAAGGCTTTAGAAGCAAAAATAGGTGAAACTCAAATAGCCAGCACTGAAGAAGGATCCCCGCATCACAGACACTATGGAAACACAGACTGTAAAACAGCCGCACTGGGTACCTTCCCCTACGGACCCCTCTGCAGATGACAGCAATTTACAGAAACTCTCCAGCGTCCTGAAACCCTTATCCCAGAAATGGTCATGTCTTTGCATTTAATAACGCTTAATGGACTTTTACTTTCATGAACCCACACATCTACCCTCTGCCTCCCGCTACATTCATTCATCTGTCACATCCAGTCTAAAGCAAGACCTGTGGCCTGTCCACCCACATTGGCTTTTCCAACACTATCTGCAGTTACTGCCACAGCTCGGATTCACTCCTCTTCCAGGTGAGGAAACCTAATCTTTTTTCTACTTTCCCATACAGAAGTCGTTGTACCTATACCTTTAAATGTGTCCTCCTTAGCAGCTTCCCCTGTTCTGCTGTTCATATTCAGAGATGAGAGGGGAGAGGAATGAGATACTGTTCAGGACAAATGCACTACAGATGTACGCAGCAGTACAGTGATATTTGAGCAGTTCTCTTCTATACTACTGCTAGGAACGTACTACCTTGTAGAGTGACACTTGCTTAGGTCAATCATAACCCAAGATGTCATTTAGTAGTAGAAAGGAACAAGGAGACCCTCACTGTACATGCAGAGTTAGGATTACCTCCTTGCTTCTCCCATACATCACTCCACATTTATCCATGTGGATTTGCCTGCTGTATTTTATTGTCCAGTCACAAAGCTCCTTCAGCTGGTTCCTACAAGAAGGTCACCAGCAAAAGCTAACAGTCAGCCAGCTTCACTTCAACATACCGTTAAAGATGTGGAAAAAAGGGAGTAAGCACCGAAGATAACAAAGCCAGCATGTCTCCGTTGTGGGACTCCACTGCTGACCGCCCTCTACACTAAGAGCTGACCACTTACTTTTAACCTCTGCTCCCTCTCCATTCAAGAGCTTTCTAACTTGTCATTGCTAACAAGAAACCTTTGTAATTGCTTTCCTCCTATGAATCCTGCTCAAACCTTCTGTCTACATGCTCAAAGATTCCTTCAAAAAACCTCCAGTAGGTCTAGGAGGTAGCACTTCCCCTTGCCATGCCAACTCCTCCCTGACACAGGCATCCATCCCAGGCACCCACCTGCTGTGTTCCTCAGAGCAGCTCTATGCAGATTTCAGACCCGATTTTATTTCCCTCATTTGCCTATGAAGACCATTTGCATTGTATTATACATTTTTCAGTCCCTGGAGAGAGAGGCAGCTTCAAGTGAGAGACTGTAAGCAGCAGTTACCTTTTCCACCCTTGCATCCCCGTGATTTGTTACGGACAGAGCCCCTGTGTTCCCCAGGGGCTGCTCTTTAGCAAGAGCCAGTCCCAGCACATGCAAGGAGATACCAGGCATCCACCCTTCAATTTGGGGGTAGGAAAAGCAGAATGCAAAACAGTATCAAGGCCTGCACTCATTCTGCTCCCCGCCTTCCCCCACCTGCCTCATCTCAACACAGCGGTCTGCACCCTCCAAGGGTGCAGGTATTTATTCATACAGGCATAATTTTCCCCGTTACAGCAAAAGACCAGTACATGCCAGAGGCCACATGCAGCTGGGCATGACTGCAGACAGGCAGCTCCTTCTCCCCTTCGTTTGCCTTCTTCCCTTCACGCCTGACCTGTTCTCTGCCTCTCCAAACAAGCCACGGCTTCCTTGGGAAGCAGAGGTCACACTGACTGCAGGCTGGCTGTGACCAGCCAAAACAAGGTTGGCAGATACAATCTGCATCCCACCCTTAATCCAGAGAGTCGAGATGGAGCGATAGCCACAGCCTGCACATAAAACACATGCTTTGATACTGCCAGCTAAAACCGGACGGGGCTTGCAGAGGAGACAACAGCTCTCCATGCAGGCTCAGGACAAGGAGATCCTTAGCCCCTCCATATCCCTGTGCCAATTCTCTCCCCAGCATGCAGAACGCCTCCACCTTTTACACTGCTCTACGAAGCGCATCTAACCCCAACCACAGCCCCTGAAGGCTTAAGCAGACTGTTGGGAGGCTCTTTCAAAAGATGTCAAGAGAGAGCGCCAAGCCCAAAGTTTAAGATCTAGCCACTTCAGCCCTTTGAATGCAGGTAACTACATCTCTAAACTCGTGTGGTTAAGGAACAGACTTCTCCTGCCTGCCTGGGGCCTGAGGAAATTTATTCAAAGGCATAACCTCTGCAAAATCTCTTGCACAGACTCTTGACAGCCTGACAGCTCCAAAAAAACCCCACTCTGCCTAGCTCTGGTGTCCTGACTCTGCAGGATGTCAGGCCCCTCCAAGAGCACTACCTTTACTTTCCAATGAATGCAACTAGTTCTCGGTCATGTTTACTCTATCACCACCCCAGGGAAGAAAATGAGAGAAAGCAAAATTATTTTTAAATCTACTCCAAGAGGAAAATACCCTCTCGTCTTCGGTTCAAGAAAGCCAGCCTAGGCTGGAGCTCCTGACCCAAGACAGAGCCGTAGTCATACTAGGAATAAACCAGGAAGTAAACATCTCTTTCCCTTCCCAGAGACTCATTTACCTTATACAGCGTGTTTCGAATTATTTCAATGTTCATTTCATCCAGGTCCTGTTCAGATATGCAGTCTTGGAAGAAAGCAGCTGAAAACAGAGCCACAGAGAGAGTTAGCGTTGCCCTAACCAGACCCATGCCCAGCACTTTCCAGAGTCCTCAACAATACCAGGCAGAAGCACACCCTATGTTGAGCTTGTCCCTCCTAGGCCTGGCCCTCATCTTCAGCAGCCACCAAATTGCCATGACTCAAAACCTCAGGCTCCGCCATGGCTCCCCAGGCCACAATCATTTTGGGGGCTCTCACATGAAAATCTTTCTTCACCCCTTAGTCCTATGGTTTGGTTAACAGCCTATTCTCAGCAGAAATTCTCAGCTCTATCCCCCAGCACCAGTGCCAGAGCAGCCTGTATTTAAAAATAAGCAAAACCCAAACTGTTCCCAGATGCAGGGACTTGGAGGTGACAAGAGAGTTTCCTAATTGCCTGCTACAGCATGGCAGCAGCGCTTAAGCGAGACAGCAGCTAGCAAGTCTTGAGGAAGCTGGTGCTTCTCCCTCCTTCTCCAATATCTCAGTAATTCAGGAGGGAGTTTGAGAAGTTGTTGCCACCTAAAGAACACAGATTTAAGACCCAGGGTACTGCAAGCTGCAGATAAAGATGAGTCTTACACATTTAGTGTAACATAAGGTGGTTGTACTGCTCGTTTGTTAGCAAGGGCACAATAAAACGCATTGACAGGACTTTCACGACTTCTTCAACTCTCACTCAGCAACCAACTTTGCTGAATTTGCTACATAGAGAAATATGATCTTTCTCAGCTTACGCAGTCCAGCTGTGGGTAAAGGACACTGCACTCCCACTGAGAACTGACCAGTACTCTGCTTTGTGCAACAAACCAGGTACGACACAGGCTCACACTTTTGGCATGCACCACTTTTACAGCACGAGCTCCCCGGCGTGGACAGCAGCCGCACTGTGGGTCTAGAGAGTCCCGAACAGGGGTTAACTCCCCCCAAGGTTTCTTTGCAACAGCATCAGATACCAATGCCACGTAGCTGGAGGAGCACTGCTCCCTATGGTTGGCAAAAATGAAAACAGAGTGTGCCAGGACTGGTTTTCACTGCAGGACTTGCTGGCTAGCCTAGATAGCTAAGCAGTGGCTACTTCAGAGTAGCAGAGGAATGAGAACACAGCTATTTCAGTTTTTGGCCCTCCAATATCCCAAATTAGGCTAACAGCAAGTCTTATTTTGCCCTGCTAACCTATGAAAGCCATTTGGGGTTAGGCATTCCTACCAAGCCACGTAGCTACTCAAGTACTTTTAGGAGATAGAGCTGCTGTTTCTTTGCGTGTGGTCACTGGAAAGAG